GGGTCAGTGTGGGCAGTGGGGTCAGTGTGGGCAGTGGGGTCAGTGTGGGCAGCAGGGTCAGGGGGGTCAGCAGGGGTCAGTGCGGGCAGCAGGGGCAGTGCTGCCCTGCCACTCCAGAGTAAAAAGTGACCAGCAGCTGCAAACCTGATGCGAACTTAAAACCGCCCTCGGCTTCCTGCGACCCCCCCAGGCCCACAGCCTGCGCTCACTCAGACACCAGCGCAGTGAATGGAGCGGAGGTGTCTCGGGGGGCCGCTGGGCTGCCTCAGGAAATGAGAGAGAGAGCCTGTGTGAGGGAGAGAGGAAGGGGGGGAGGTGATGTTTTTCATTGAGCTGCACCAATCACAGAAACCCGAGCCGAGCACGCACGCACACACACGCGCGCACACACACACACACCAATAATTCTCTCTGATCAGGGGCTGCAGCAGCACACGTTCCCGAGAAGCCCCCCGAGGCCAGCGTTCGCTGCCGAGCCATACCAGAGCAATTACCCAGCCCCGCCTGCCAATTAGCGGCGGAATTAGCGAGCGGGCAGCGCCGTTAATGGGTGACCTGGAGTCGTGCGGTCAAGGGGGCTCATGGGAGACGGGGAGACAAAAAGAAAGCCAGGACCCCCCCCCCACTTCAAACTGCGCGACAGTGTCCCCTCACGACCCCCCCCCCCCCCCCCGCCTGCTCAAAAAATAAGGAGTCAGTCACATTCTGCGCCCCCCCACCCCAAGTCTGAGCAAACCCCGGTACCCCAGACGGTTTGGTCTGATTTTGTCTGGATCAGAGTTTCCGGCACGAGCCACCCAGGTGTGGATCAGCTCGTCAGTTTCGGAGCCCGGACAGGGAAAAGGGACATGGAACAGCCAGCGTGAGGGCTTGGGGGGACCCCTGTATCGCAGATCCCCTTGCACAGACTGAAAAACGACAAGCTCCCCTTTCAAGACTCTTGTTCTGTAACGTAGAAGAGATCGTAGGGTTTGTGATAGTATACCCTCTTTGCACATCGTGCAATCAAGTTTACTGTGACAGAGAAAAACATCCAGCCCCCCCAGGCCCAAAATCCTTCGGGACAAGGGGCCGAGCAGCTGGGAGCTCAGCGGAAACAGAACCCTGCTAATCGATATCCTCCGCCATGCGCCCATGCCTTTGTGTGGCAAGGCAGCAGACCGCCACATCAGTAGACACTGCACGTAGTGCACAGCGCTGCTCTGCATCCTGCTGCTCCCAGATCCCCCCCCAGCCGGGCCGGGCCGGGCCGACGCCGCTCTGCGCACTGAGGTCCGGGCTGGCCAGGGTTGCCGGGGGGGGAGGAGGCGAGTGCCATGGCAACCCGGTTGCCTAACAGTGCTGCCCGTTGCCACGGCAACGCAACAGCTCTCCCCTCTCAAGGGTGACCCAGTGTTCCTGCCTCCCAGGTGCCGCGGCGGAGGAGCGAGAGAACTGAGCCCCCCTCCCATCCCCCCGGCCCATACTGTCCGACAGAACGCCAGACCGCGGGATCTGGATGCCGGCGATGGGAAAACAGACGGGGCTGTGAAATTCTCGGCAGGCTTGCGGCACCCCGTTCCTGCGCTGTGCAGGCAGGCCGCCCTCCCGCTGCAGCACCCTGCCGGCTCGGGGAAGACCCTCACCCCCACCTGCCTGGGGGACCGCCGCTACTGTCCGGGTAACCCCGAACCCCCGAATCCCAGCCCCCTTCTGGGACACCTGGGAACAAACTCTGCGCCTTGACCCCCCCGCCCCCCACACCCGGATTTGAATCCGCGCAGGAGCCAAGACCACCCCGCTGGAGCTGATGGGCGCAGATCGGCGAGAACAGCCAGGGACGGGGGGGGGCTGGGCCTGTGGCGTCTGGCGGGAGCCGTCCGGGGGGCCTGAACTCCCGCACAGGGGGGCCGAGCGAACCAGGGACCTCGCTGAGCAGGGCCGTCCCCTGCCAGCCGGCGGCGGAACCCCTCTCGAACCCGGGTCGAAGCCCTCCCCCGCCGGGCCGGGCGCCAGGCCTCACCTTGACCGCTGGCCTGGGGGGGGGTGTGTGTGATCGACCGGTCGAGCGACGTCCCCGTCTGTAAACGCGCGCGCGGAGCGCCGATCCCGCCCCGCCCTCTGCTCGCGGACGGCCGCAGCCCGCCGTGCAGGAACGGAGGGGGGGCAGGGGGGGCGCAGAAGTCAAACGGAGGAGACGCCGATGATTTGGAAGCTGCGTGTGGTTGCCATGGCTCCCATCTTCCCGCGTGGTGTTAGCAAAGCGCACGGGCGGGCGCCGCGGCCTGGCTTAACCCCCGAGGCGCTGGCAGGGGCGAACGGG